GGGGGGGGGGGTAAAGGTTACAAAAAACGCCACGTTTCCATGTTTTTTCTTTACTCTTTCCATTGGAAATTGAGGAACTTTCAAACAAAAAGGGAGCAAACTGCCATCTATTAGGTTTTTTTTTTTTATTAATGGGGTGTCCAGACACCCAAATTCACCCTCTAAATAACACAGAACACACTAATTAAAACTAATTTATCTTAATTAATCCTCTTTATCTTCCAGTTTTACATCACAGCCGTTAAACAGTTAAACAGTGTTGGTTTTTGTCATCAGGCCCAGTTTAAAGTTAAACTGACAGTAAAAATAAGTGTTTTATGTGATGTTTAGCACCATTTTTTCACTTTTCTCTAGGTGTTTTTTCTTTACTTACCAAGATTTGGAGAATAAGTAGCCATCATTTGGATCCTTTCTACCTTTCCTTTGAGAAAAATGAATGAAAAATTGATGCTGATATGATCCAAATGTTGGCTAATAAGCCAAAATGTAGTCATTGTTGAGCATGTAAGACTCTATATTGGGTAATTAAATTTAAAAAACGTATTTAGAATAGTTTATAATGAATGCAACTTAAATTTTTTAAAATAAAACTCATTCATTGACCTTCCCGAAGGCCTCCTGCATTCCCCAGCCGAGGCTTCATTAGAGGCCTGCTGATGAATTCCTGGACGGAGTTCTGAACTGTCCAGCCTGAATTATCTCTTCCATTCCCTCCTGAAACCGCCTGGTGGTGAGTTAAATAAGCTCTGCCGGGCTTCAGTAACCTTTTCCACCACTTGAGGACACAGTGAGACTCCACTAAGGCTCAGGGACAGGTTAAGAGACCAGAGGGGGGGGGGGGGGGTACTCACTGGAACTCACTGTACAAACAGGAACGCTGCAGAACACTAAAGGCAGCAAATAAATGAGCGTTCAGTCGGAGGATTCTGTTTCGGTGGCCAAGAGGTTCCACATAGAAAGAGGAAGAAGTCAGCTCCTCTTTTCTCTCAAAAGACTTTAACCTTTTGGATGAGAAGTCATCTTTGTATAGTTTCTCCTCCCAGCCACATAATTCTACCACAAAAAGCTTTTAGCCGAGTTAAAACCTCAGAAGTTTAGCAGAAAAACGTCTTTTCAATGTGGTTTTTACGCTTTTTCCGGCCCATTTAGCCATTTTAAAACACAAAAAGTGCATGGGTGTGCTCCTAAAAGATACAAAGCTGCTCTCTTATCCTGCACAGATCAGCCGGGGACCCAGAGGTGGAGACTGTCTGTCCCCTCGGGGCGGAATATGCGGCTGAGAGCTTCCCAGAAACCGCTGATAATATCAGCCAATCATTCTTTACTACGCCAACCAGCATGTCGCCGTTTCGCCCGCAGATTTAGATTAATAGCAGACATAAAAACAAATGCAAGTTGCAGGAAAAGAGACAAATAAAGAGGTCAGAGCCCAGAGAGAAAGCGGTTTGCGTAAAAAATGAAGCGCAAAACTTCCCCCAAAAACTCTGCGCAAGATGTGACAGCAGCGCGCACTGGCGCAGTGGGTCAATGAGATGCGGCACGCGCACGACGCGCACGCGGAGCGGCCGCAGTTTCCTCGTTTGTGTCAGCCGAATCAACACAAATGCGCGTTTTACGCACACGGAAAAAAAACAGCCAAAACGTCTAAAAACAGCCAAAATGTTGCATGCACTGCGTCTTTTCTCCATCAAACACAGTTTTTAAAAAGTTTTAAGTATTCCCTCTTACCATGAATTGGAGTTTGACGTCTCGAGGGAAAGTTTTGAGGTGAAAAAGGTGCGCGTAACGGAGCAGTGGACGGACTGTGCGCAGGTGGAGGGTTTGGGAGAGGCAGTGCCCGCGGAAGGGTCGCGCGGCCAGTTATCTGGGGCTTGTTTGTTATGGACTCAGAGAACAAGTGGGACGTCCCACTAAGGGGAGGCGGTCACGTGGTTCCCATCAAAACACTCCGAAGAGAACAACAAGTTCTTGAGGTTCCCAGTAGGTCATCCTCCAAAAAATACGCACCGAAAGCGCGCAACATCTCCCCAAAAACGCGCAAAGTTTGGGAAACTTTTAAGTTTGTTGGTTCTAATTCTGATTAAGTTGGTTGGTTTAATTCCAAAAACGTTGCGTAAACATGCGTAAAAAGTGGTTAAAAAGCTTTCTTACCGTTTTTCCATAACGCAGAAATCCGCAGGTTTGTAGGAATCCGCTCCAGAGCTGTTTCTGCCTCACTCTGCCTCACTGCTCCCTCTGGGCGGCCAGAAGTAGGTCAAATATCTTGGCAGTGGCCGCCATTTCCCCTTTTCCCCTCGAATGTGACACACATTCTGGTGAGGTGGAGCTCCGGCGTCACGTTTTGTCCTGGCAGGCTGCCCGCGGCCCCCGGTCACGTTGAGCTGCAACGTGACCGTCTCTCTGCTGCCTCCGGGGGCCAAAAGCAGCCAGAGGCCGGGAAAAAGGAGCCTACGTGTCGGGCTTATGCAAAAGAACCACCAGATATAAGTAAAAAACAGCGAATTTAGCGCAGAAAACCGGATCTAAACACACCAACTGGAGTTTATTATCTTCCTTTAAGCCATTTTACACTTTTTGGGGCCAATTCTTTCAGTATTTTACTAGAATTAGAAATCAAGTATTGACCCATATACAAATCTAGCTCATTATATTTGAGAAAATGTGTCTTTTTTTTTTTACATTAAACTGATAATTTATATATTTTTAACTTTTCTTTAACTTTAGGGACAAAACAATCAACTGAAGATAAGAGATTTTCTTTAGGTTTTTAAGCTTCCAGTCTGTTCAATTAGGGAGTTCTGGGCAGCTTTCACCCTCCAAACAGGTGTTTTTCCATGTTCCACAAACATTTCCACACAAACTAAACTCTTTGAGCTCAGAATTTTGCAGACAGGCCCCATTTTCCTCCCAAACAACCCAAAAGCTGAGAGGTTTTTCTAGGTTAACTACATCAAACCTGAGAGCAGCAGACTGGCCCCAAAAGAGAGGTAATCTATCATAAATATGGACTTTTTCTCAGCTTGATGATCCTTTTTTGGGTGATAAAGCCAAATAGAAGAGACTTTAGCTCAATTATTTGGTGGTCGGCACACCTCTATTCCACATTAAAGATTGACGGTAAAACTTGGGGAAAAATCAAATATAGCCTTTCAGATTCTGTGCCTCTTCCTCCAGTAATAGAAGAGCAGGTAGGGAACAAACTGGCATTTGGTTCAGATGAAATCAAGCCCAAAAAACAGGAAAAGAGGAAATTAACTCTAAAACTAGTGAAGATGCTGGTGCCCCCCCCAAAAACACACCTTTGCTCTGTATGTGTTTCTGTTCTACCTCCACACCGTCTTTACCAAAGTCAAAACTCCCGTTTATGTCATTAAGATGCAACAAATAAAACAGAAAATTCTCCTAATGCTTCCCAGCCTCTGTGCCAGGTCACTGGACCCAAAAAAAAAAAAAGTAGGTCATTTAAGAACTTATGTAACATGTTAAAGTAGAATCAGGAGGAAAACAGGACGGTTTGCTCGTTTAAGTGACCTGTATTGGTGTATTTGGCTGAATGATGCATTCACTGGCACTCGGCAGCCCCCTGTTCCAGAAGACAGATCTAAAAAAAACAATGTGCTCACAGCTAAAACTTTTCTAGGTCAAACGAGACTGGAAAAAACATCCTGCTGTTCCGGTTGTGGCCACCAGGCGGCGGTGTGGCGTCTTAGTTAAGTCTTCCGGTTAAAATCAGATTCACAACGTTGGTAAATCTAATAGAAAAACATTTAACCACACGGAAAAGTCACACCCTTTGAGTTGTTTTTTAAGGGGAGACCGAACAGTTGTGGGTTTTTTTAAAAGGAAAACACAGATTATTAAAGCGACTTCAAATCCTAATCTGAATATGGACTTTCCCATCTGGCTGTCAAAGGTCTTTGTGTGACGTCCATGGAGAGATGTTAATTATTTGGTGTGTTATCATTAAGATTTTTCATGTACATGATAAAGATTGTGATGTTTTCAGTCTAAATTCTGATTAGTTGGGATGAAAAAAGTCTTTGGTTTGTCACCACTTACAGGAAGGAATACAATTAAAACGCAAAATCTAAAAAAATGTTTCAATTTTTCTTGGTTTTAAAGGGTAAAATCGTACATTTTCACCCTTAAATAGCAGTGAAAATGCAAAACTGAATGTCCAGAAATCTCCAGGTTTTCTCCTTTTTCTCCATCTTTAAAAACAAAAGCAGCTGGATTGTGATTATTTGAAGCTGTACAAACTCACATTTATTCAAAGTCAGATATGACAAACACCAATAAATAAAAATCAATTAAAAACTCACCACAGAAAGAATTACTGAGATTTCAGTTCACATTCATTTTACATTTGTGTGGCTCAACAACAAAAAACAACGTTAAAAGCAAATTAAAGGACTAAATCTGAGAGTTGGAACCACTCACATGTGACGGCACCTCCAGGACATTATCAGCTTTATTTTTACCTGTTTTGGCCTTCAAGTCCACAAAGATTTAACCGAAAACCTAAACAAACACAAAGTTCTGCAAAAAAAAGAGGCACGATTTAGTTTACAGTCCTTAATCGGACGAGAAATAAGACACAAACCTGTAAGTGTTCAAGTGAAAATCAGAAATAAGGAATGCTGAAGGAACAAAGGGACACAAGTCACAGTTTTAGTTTCTGACCCGGATATTTGTACAAAAAAAGAAAAGACAAAAAAGAAAAGAGTGCAATTCTGCTCATTTGAACCGAAAAGACTTAAATGTCTCTGAAGATCCCAAAGCTGAGCCGGGAGGAAAATCTCCGTCCGACTGGGCGCTAAAATATTTACAGACACCCGGATGAGAGGATGAGAGCCAGATGTGGTACCTCCACATCTGGCGCCGCCATATCTGGCGTAACAGCTTTCGGCGCCACATCTAATGGCGTAACCACAGATGTGGCGTCACATCTGGCACCTCCATATGTGGCGTTGTCACATCTGGCGCCATCACAGGTGGCGTGGGAACATCTAATATGGCGCCTCCACATCTGGCAGCCTCACAGCTGTGGCTCCGTAACATCTGGCAGCTCCACATCTGGCGCCATTACAGGTGGCATCTGTTATGGCATCTCCACATCTGGTAGAGTCACAGCTCTGGCTCTGTAACATCTGGCTCGGCCACATCTGTGGCCACTACAGATGTGGGGTCACATCTGGCTTCTCCACATCTGGTGGCATCACATCTGGTTCCGTAACATCTGGCGCCACCACATGTGACGTTTTCAGATCTGGCACCATTAGGTGGCGCCGTAACAGTTGGTGTTGTAACATCTGTGATGGCGGCGTCACATCTAATGGCGTAACCACAGATGTGGCGTCACATCTGGCTTCGTAACATCTGGCAGCTCCACATCTGGCGCCATTACAGGTGGCGTTGTAACATCTGTGATGGCGTCTCCACATCTGGTAGCGTCAAAGCTGTGGCTCCGTAACATCTGGAACCTCCACATCTGGCGGCACCATATCTGTTGCGTCGCCTCCTCTAATGGCGTAACCACAGAGGTGGCTCACATCTGTGATGGCGTAAGATCTGGTACCTCCACATCTGGCGCCATTACAGTTAGTGTTGTAACATCTGTGATG